GTTAAATTTTTCTCATCATCTTCTAAAAGTTTATAAATTAAAATATGTATCCTTTCTGAGATATTAGTTATTAATATCTCAGTCCAGTTTTTAAAAAGCTCTTTAAGATAAGAAAAAGTTATACAGCTAGTCCTCGACTTATGACCACAATTGGGGGCAGAATTTCCATTGCTAAGCGATGTGGTCATAAAACGAGATGTCACGTGACCACATCACTTAGCAACCGCAATCCCGGCAGTCCCAGTTGCCATCATTAACCAAGGATTGTGGGTTGTTAAGTGCATACCCACCCCAATCCCAGCCATTCCTGACTTGGTCCCTCCCAGCCCTGAGCCTCAATAAGGTAAGGGACTGCCTCCAACTCCCCCCATCTGCCTATCTTCCCCCATCTCTGCCCTTCTGGATGCCCTGCACTCTCCCTTGTGGGGCGGCAAGCAGCCCCAGAACCACACAGCTCTGGGACTGCTTGCCATGCTCTGGGAAGCTGCAGTCACTCCAGCCCAATCCCAACCGCAGTTGCTCTCTTCATCCTGCACTCCGAGACCTCTGCCACCTTGGTACTCCACCACCCCAGCTGACCTTCACCGTCTTCTTGCTCCAAAAAGCCTCTTTGCAAAACACCCCTTTACAAAAAGCTCCTGCGTGGGCCTGGGCTGGGCTTTTCGGGGAGGCAGGTAGACGAGGCCAAACTTAGCCCTCCGGAGCTAAAGCTTTTTAGCCTTTTAGCTAAAGCTTTTTAGCCTTAGTCTTGGGAACTAAAACTTTGTAAAAAGCTCCTGAAGCATGGCGCACCAAAAAGCTTTAGTTCTGGAGGGCTAAGGCTGGTCCAGTCTACCCAGTGGCCGAAGGAGGGACTAGTCTACCCACAGAAAATGAAAAGGAGAAGGTCAAAGGGGCTGGTCTACCCACCTATCACAGTTGGTGGACCAAAGTTCACAGGAGTGGGCCAGTCTACCCACAGGGGAAGAAAAAAGAAGGGGAGAGGGAGGGAAGAAGGGACACTTTTTTTTTCTTGCAGTATGAAGCAAAAGCCCAGACCAGACCACGAACCTTTTGCAAAGGGACATTTTGGCACGACACGCTCCAGGAGCTGTTTGCAAAGAGGCTTTTTGCAAAGTTGCTTTTTGGAGCAAGAAGACAGCAAGGGTCCACCAGGGCACCAGAGTGCAGGGCAGCAGGGGGCCAAGAGGGCAGAGATCAGTGGAGATAGGCGGGTAGGGGGAGTTGAAGCGCCCCTGCGGTTGTAAGTGTGGGTAGGCTGCCAAGTGCCTGAATTTTGATCACAAGATCATGGGGACACTGCAACGGCTGTGACTTCGGGCACCGGTCGTCACTTTTTTCAGTGCATTTGTAACTTCGAACCGTCACTGAACAAATCATCTTAGTCGACTACTACTTATATCCACCTTAGCCATTTTAACTCTTTTCTGCCTGGTCCTTTGGTTCCCTCTAGTATCCATTTGCAATCTTCATCAAGCCTCAGTTCCTAATACAGCATGGGCTTAATTTTGTTTCAGTCATTTCCCACGAGTATATTATTTAATTATATACTTGTTTTTAAAATCTTACAGCAAAAATAACCAATATTCCAAATCTCTCTGGTCTCCCAATCCGTTTAAAACTTTCTTAACTCAAAATCCTTTTTTTTTTTGCTTTTTGCCAATTGTATATTATTTTGAATTCTTAAGTCTCTGTTTAAAATTTCTTAAATCCAAAGAAGGTAAAACTCACCAAGTGTTAAACTAAGCTTGCTGTTTTACAGGTCTCCAATATCCATAATGTGATTAAATTGAACATTTCCAAATGTGATTCGAAAGTGAGTTCTGCTGGCTTAGTGTCCTTATGAAAGGCTCCGCCACTGCTGAAAGCAAAGGTGTCATCTCCTTCAGCTCCTGGCACTCACACCTGTGGGAGACCACCGTTTTACCGTCTCTTTGTGAGGAGCTGCCATTCAGAGCACTTATGGGCAATCTCCTGTTCTCTCCTTCTCCAGAAAGATTCAAAGGACCAGTCTACTCGCCAGTTTTGCATTCTTCACAGCGTTGGTCGTCTCCGCTCATTCGCGGAGACATTTTTAGTCAGCCATGACTCACACTGGAAGCCATGGTATTGTTTTAAAATAAAATAATATATTATCTTAAGGTAATATGACAAGATATACTATAGTTAATGGATATCTTGTCATATTACCTTAAGATATTATTTTAAAATTAAGATATTTTAAAATAATATATTATCTTAAGGTAAAATGACAAGATATCCATTAACAATAGTACGTACTTCTCATATGTAATTTGCTTTTTTAAAAAAACACACTGAAATTCACATACTAATTGCAGAATGCCTGAAGAGCCTCACACATAAATACTGCAGGTAGTATTTATGTGTGAATACAATGAATACAATTTGTTTTATGAAAGAATATGATTCTTTAAAATAAATTCAACAAATATGTGCATATACATTTGTCAGTGTACCTCCCACACATATCTTTCATGTTCTAACACAATTTTATTCTGACCAAAGGATTTAATAGTAAGAACATCACACCTTTAACAATCTAATTTGAATGATAGATAGGCCTGTGGTGATATAATAAATCATCTCAATAGGTGGTAGGCCCTGACTGACTGTGTCTGGGCTCTGAAGCATACAGTAGCAGAGTTGGGCTTTGTTACTACTTAGATGGGAAATGACCAGGGAATCTGAGGACTCTAGGCTAAATTGGGAAGGTGAAAAGCATCCTGGAAGACTGTAATTGCAAGCCACTTCTATAGAAAACTAGATAGACAGCAACATACAACTACAGCTTTCATCACAGAGATAGCATATCTATTGGTAAGGATGGTTTCAGCCCACCTTGTCTGGAGGCCATCAAGTCTGAGAAGACAACCCTGTTTGGGGAGAAGACTGATGTAGGAGTAGGCCCATTTTCAGTCCCCTACTTTGTGTGAGATCTGCCAAAGAGCTATTTTCCAAAGGCAGTGTAATTAGTGGAAGGATAGTAGCCAGAGGCTGGAGCTTGAGAATGCTCAATTGAAGCATCAGAGGCCCCTCTGTCGGCCCTTTGAGGTAGTCCAGACAAGAAGCACTAACCATGAGTACTAACACTATCTTTATTGTAAGGTTACAGTAACAGAATCTTGCAAATCTGAAAGTACATCTCTCCCCCCCCCTTGACTTTACAGTCCAAGAAACTAGGGAGGGTCCCTTCTGAGATGTTTGCCACGCCCCCATTGCTTCTGCGGGCTCAGCTGCCTCTTATCTGACCATTACCTCATCTGCGGCTCCTCCCTGTCTCTCAAGGACATTCTCACAGACCATTACATCTCTGACAACTC